TAAGCACCCCAAGTGCGCCGGAGGCACCCGTGCACATGGTCCCCAACTAAGTGGCTCCTCGACGTGGCTGCTTGGGCGCGGCGGGTCCCTGCCTTCGCGGATCCGAGCCCTCCCCCCGCCCGCAGAGGCAGCCCAGGAATCTAGTGCAAACCGCGCGCCCGGCCCCTCCTGCTTCCCTTTCACATTGCTCTGCAGCCCTGGGCGTCCCCGGCTCTCCTGCTCCCCTCTGCCCCACCCTGCAGCCCTGGTGGGCGAAGGGTGAGGTGAGAAGGGACCTGGAGGGGTCGGTAGCTGGAGTGAGGGGCGCCGGATTGTCTCACTGCTGCGCCCGTCGCCTGCTGACGTTTAGGTCTCCCAGACCTGGTGCCCGACCCCTACTACATCCAGGCGTCCACGTACGTGCAGAAGATGTCCATGTACAACCTGAGATGCGCCGCAGAGGAGAACTGTCTGGCCAGGTATGGGTTTGGATCTCTGCGGCCGCGCTCCCCCGACTTGTTTCCGGGGGCGCTCTGGTGCCTGTTTCTGACTACTTCTGTTCCGCGCAATTGCTGGGAAGTGGGACAAGAGCTGGGAAGTGGGACGTGACCTCCTCGGCATGCTGACCTGGTTGGGGGAATTAAAATTCTGAAGATTTCTGTGGGTTCTGTCTCTCAAACTGCAACACGAATCAGAGACCCGCTGGAGCAAACTCTTGTCTTGGAAACTGGGAGTCTCGTATTCGTGTTCTTTTTCCAAGCCACTTAAACATTGGAGGCAATCGTTTCCTATAACTTTCTATAAGACAGATATACAGTAATCTTTAAAAACATTATTGTAGTGGAAGAATGTGTCAATACCCTTTTTAAAAATGGGGGGCAAATTTGTCATTGCAGCCTATTGGTAAAGGCTACGCTCTCTTTTGTTTGAGACCACGATTGACTTGGTCGTTTTGGTATTACTTCAACCAGAATAAGACCTTGAATAAGAGCTTTGTTTTTTCATTAGTCCTCAAGCAAGATAGCCACGCTAGGGTTGGGGTTCTTTGCGTTTGCTCCTGGGAGACCAGCAGAGGGAGCAAAAGATGTTTTGATAGATCCCATAAAAATTTTAAGGTGTAAAATTAGGTCATCAATAGTTCTTGAACATACATTCACACACAAATATATTAGTAGAAACACAGAGATTTTGATTAGTGCAGTTCTTTCACTTTGACACTTTATAATTCTCAGGATAAAGCAAGAGAAGAAATTCAGGCTCATTTTCATTCACTCACAGCATTGAACTTCCAATGATGTTATTATAGTAGTGACATTGTTTTGCAGATAGGAAGTTACAAAATTATTCATCTAAATCTGAGTATGATCTTTTAGAGTTATTTCCTCACCTTACATCTTGAATTGATTTTATATACAAAGTTGACTTCTCACATGTAGATTTATTGTGCCAATGGGTATTGTGTTGTCGCTTTTAAGTTCTGTAGATTTCCATAGTTGTCACTCATTCGTTTATTCACCAAATATTCATTGAGCTCTGACTATCCCAGGGCTGTTCTAGGAGATTGGGATTCATCAATAAACAAAATAATAAAAATGCCCTGGCCTCTTGGAACTGATAGTCTAGTTGGGGAAGGGGAATTGCCATTATTATGTAATGAAGACACTTTGCGATTTTGTTCTTAGTTAATATTCTATGAGTGTAATAATGTTTCTTTTTTCAAAATCACAGTTCAGCATATAGGGGAGATGTCAGAGATTATGATCTCAGGGTGCTGCTAAGATTTCCCCAAAGGGTGAAAAACCAAGGGACATCGGATTTTTTACCAAGCCGACCAAGATATTCCTGGGAATGGCACAGTTGTCACCAGTAAGTAGATGACCTCCTGGGTACATTTGAGTTGCTTTTTCATTTTTTAGATGATGCAAATCTTATTTATTACCTAAAGAGAGAAAATTGCTATTATTTACATTTAGAATTTTTCTGTGTAATTTGACATAATCAAAGTAGTCTATCTTTAAGATGATGTTAATTCATCATCTGCTAGATCCTGTTATCTTTTGAAATGGAAACTTTAAGTCTAGCCTATTAAAAGTGTTGTTAGGATACAGCAGTTGGTTCCAATCAAATTTATTCCGGTATACTACAGGTAGGATTTCTTTAAAAATCTGTTGCAGCCAAGATCATATACAGGTAGTTAGCAATAAATAGCATTTAATATAGACCACAGTGGTAACATTGTTATCAAAAGGATTCAGAGACCATACTCAAAGAAAGATGTAGATGATACACTCCATGAGCTCAGAAGGACTTTCCTCCATCTTGTAAAAGGCCTATATCAAACCCAGAGTGGTTGCCTGTTCCATCCTAAACTTAAAGATTTTCACACAAGGTAATTCTATCATTTATCTTGGTAAGTTGCCCATGTGTGTATTGTCTGGAAATGCTGATGTATGACGTTAAACTTTCTTTCCAAAGTTCAAGCCATCCCTCATGTTTTTTCCTTACGTGAGTAGATGAACCTCTATTTAATGAAATGATAAAAGTAGATATGAGTCACCTAATCTGCTGATAAAATGGAAATATTTAATTTCTAAATAAAAATTTATGCTATTTAAATAATAATGGTGGCTAAAACGTGCCATGACTTCTCCTTTGGGTTTTAGTAATTATTTTAAATATGTGAGAACTCAGTTTTTAAAAATCTCATGGAAACCTCTCAAGAGTCATGTGGAATGAAGCATCAGTAGTATTAGCCAAGAGCAATATACTAGAGAATATATGGCAAGTTTCATATAAGCACAGATAATTTATTGTCTATTTCTATTTAATATTCAAAGGTAAAACAGAGTGTAATGAGAAAGCAAATACTAAAACTAGTCAATTTTGATAAATTTATGTCCCTGGGAACAAATATCTAACACAGATCTCTCTTTAAAAAGATAAACTAGGGCAACCACCTTGGGTCCCCTCTCAGTGTGGGAACTTTTCTGTCTTCTCAATCAATCCTGCTTTCTAAAAAAAAAAAAAAGATAAACTTGATCTCAATTTCAACGTGAAAACAAATTTATGAGACAATGGGGAAGTCATTTAATCTTCTCGTTGCTTTCTCTGTATATAACTGATCAGCATCTTTTTGTTGTATGGGATATCAGACATTACCACAGTATGGATGAATTCAGCCACTATGACCTGCTTGATGCCAACACCCAGAGCAGAGTGGCTGAAGGCCACAAAGCAAGTTTCTGTCTTGAGGATACATCCTGTGACTATGGCTACCACAGGCGATTTGCATGTACTGCACACACACAGGTAAGGTGGCATCCTGAAGTCAGGAACCCACAGACCTCAGAGAGAAAACAAAGTAGTCTAATATTTTATTTCCTCCTACCTGTGTTTTATAAATTGTTCATTTTGGGTGTTGTCTTGTCAAGATGGAAAATAATCAAGAAGAGTCAAGTGATGGGTTGATGATCCAAATTACTTTTGAAGTATTTCCAGCAATGCATGTAGCTCCCTATCCATGATCCCAGGCCGGTGTGAATCCTTATGTTCCACAGTGAAAAGCCAAAGTTGACTCTGCAAACTTCGGAATGGCTTGCAGCCTATGCACCCATCACTGTATTCTTTAACTGGCTTAGTAAATAACTGTAGAAAAGAAACCTCTGTTTTCTCATCTGCAAAACTATTCCTTCCTTCAAGATTTGCTGAAAACAGAACAGAGGTTGTGGTTAGCAAAAGGAGATGAAATATGTTTCTTTAAAAGCACTTTAAAAAGTTGTCTCTCTTAATGCACACAAGAACACAAGGATACAATTTCTTTATCCACACACATATATTTAAATCTACAGTCTAATTCATGTCAGATGTCATTTGGATACAGTTTTTAAAGTAGTGCTGAACTAAGCAGTTTGTAGGCCTTATAATTGGAAAATGTGTGTCAGTCAAGAGCCTTGTCAGTATTTCCATATGAAATTCTAATTTGTAAAAGGACATTATAATTTTATTCCAGCCCAGATCTTGGCAAGGAGCAATGAATGTACATAACCCAGGGCACAAAGTGATCAGCAGCTGACATCTTGGGAAGCAAATTTTAGGGCTGTGGCAGGAAGCTTTTTGGTGACTTAAATGTTATCATTGCTTTTTTTCTCTGAGTTTAAAACGTCATAGCATTTGGAAGGAGAAAAGTTTAAATTCTGCATGCCCTGGAGCAGTGCATATTCCTTAAGTCAAAGGAGATGTAACCTACCCATATAGTATACCTGTGTATGTAATAGAGGTTTTCTTTTCGTTCAATGATCTCCATAGTTCCGTGGATGCAGGGGTCTGGAGTGTATTCACCCATTCACCAAAAGATGCACTCGGGACAGCTCACTCTGAAATATTTGAATCTGGGGTTGTAGGTATTTATAGCACTTCTATTTCCCCTATTCCTTGGGGTGACCCATTTCATTTTATATGGTAGCTTTCTTATTAATCATCATCCAAATGTAACCTATTTAACTGTCATTTGCTAAGTCTTGCATTATAGATGATTTATGTATTTTTTCCCATTAGGCCAGTGTCTCTTGAGCATGGACTTTATTTAAAGGAAAAAAATGTTCTTTCAAACCCCCTATGTTAGTCAACTTAGATTAGTTTTATTATAATGCTGTATTACATTATATTATATTACGTATTCAAGCATAAAACTAGGCATAACTTCTTTATATTTATACTTTTATATAACTCCTGTGTTCTTAGACAACAAATTTACATATTAAATATATACAAAACAAAAAATTGTTGTTTGTTAATTTAATGTAACAAGCAGCTCTGTTTTGTTAAAACCAAATAGCTAATTTTGACAGTCTCAACTAGGGCTCTTTATTTAATCTGTTTTTATATTTTGACTTTGAATACATGAAATGCCTTTTTGCTCGATAGCCTTAGTAACTCCAGCTTGGGTTTGCTAGTTCAAATAATCAAAGCTCATACTTAAATTTTGCCTGCTTAGTAATTCTAAGGTGCTAATTTCAGCATTCTTTAAAGCTATTTTATTTACTTGAGGACAAGATAAGCATTGTAGCATTATTTACATCTGTCTTAAATAGGTATCTAATCCAATAAATTCTTTACAACATCATGTATGTAGTGGTGGTAGTAATAGAAGTAGTAGCTAACACTTAGTATGTATTATAAGTCAGAATCAGAATTATGTGTTGGAGTCAGACGAAAATTCTTCATTTTATGTTTAATACTCAACATACTGTTACTTGACATGTGAACCAAGGTGGGAATTCAGGCAACAACAATGGAATATGGTTCTTACAACTGTGACACCGGTCCTTTGGAATCTGGCCTATCTGTGCTATTGTGTGCCATATGACAACACAATTCTCCCAACCTCTTTCCAAATCAAGCTACAGCAAAAGCAGGTGCTAAGGTAGAGCATGCTAAGATAATTTTGCTTTCTCTTTGGTAACCAAGATGATATTAAACACCAAAGCAATTTTGGGTGCTGGAATCAAATGGCCATATTGAATCAAAGTAATTCTAGCATATACTTTTAAATTTAGATTACTATTGGAATGAAAATGCAAGTTATAATTTTTTTGTGAAGAACACATGGAATCAAGAATATACCTACAGACTCCAACTTGAGTAATGACTCTAAACTCTAATGTTCCTAAGACCAAGGACCACATTTTAATTACATTTTTCTTCTCCCAGCCTGTAGAAGGCACTCATGTCCTTGTTGATGTGACTATCTTAGTGAGTAGAGTGATGTGGCATTCATGAATCTAGTCATGCATTCATTCCTTCAATTCAACAAAATATTTCATATTTCAGTGACTCTCTGAGAGTATAGTGTGCTAGTTAAGAACAGGGACTCTGGACCTCAGTTGCCTAAACTTGAAACCAGCTTAGTCACTTACTAGCTGGATACTATTGGGTAAATTATTTGACCTTAGTGTGTCTCAGTCTCCTCATCTCTAAAATAGAAATAATAATAGCACTTATCTCATCCTCGTGTAGATGTGAGAATTGAATGTGTATATGTAGCATGTGTAAAATTGTTACCTGGCACATAATATTTAATAAATGTTAGCTATTCAAAAATGCAACATAGGCTCTATCCTTAGGAAGCTTACAACCTCTAGTTCAATAGATTCATATATAGTATGATTATAAAACAGAGCAGAAAAGGATTATCACTATACAAGCTATGTACAATAAAAAGTATCATGGACATTCAGAGTACAAGAATGTAATTTCCAAAAGGGGAGATTGGGCATGGGTTTCACTGAGAAGAGGACATTTGAGCTAAACTCATGATTAAGTGGCCTTTATTCCTGAACTGGTAAAATTCTAGAATCTAGTGAAGGTCTATTTTGTCACTTAAGATTGCATTTATCACTGGTGTTATATGACGCGTTTAAGAAGTGAGGTGTACTACTACTTATATTAGTCCTGTATTTTTTTTAGCTGGAGGTGCTATAAGGCTGAGTAATATATACTTCTCAAGGGAGATGAAATATAAGTATAGTTTTATGTCAGACTCTTGTAAGTACTAACTTAAAATTTTATTTGCAAATAATAGCATATTCTTTAGCACAGTCTGACTGTGTATTGTCATTTTACATTTTTCTGTTTGTTTGTTTGTTTGTTTGTTTTAGGGGTTGAGTCCTGGCTGTTATGATACCTATGGTGCAGACATAGACTGCCAGTGGATTGATATTACAGATGTAAACCCTGGAAATTACATTCTAAAGGTAGAGACCTTTGAAAATATGTGATTTATTTGGATTGCAAATCAATAGGCCCTCTTCTCCTGGTTCAATTCTTAAATAATGGTGGTCTTGGAAGTAAATATACATCCTCTAAACTATTTCTAAACAAGATAATGTAGTCTAAATATCTCTTATTTTAAAGAATCTGGCTAGGCCACAGTGGCTCATGACTGTAATCCTAACATTTGAAAGGCCAAGGCAGGAGGATTGCTTGAGGCCAGGAGTTCAAGACCAACCTAGGCAATATGGCGAGACTCTGTCTCTAAAAAAAAAAAAATTAATTAAATTAAATTTGAAAAAGAGCTTGAGCTTTGGGGGAAATATTCAGTCTTCTGCATAATATCTCCAGAATTTAACCACTAAGTTAACCACTTGCTTAACTTAAACTCCCTTCCCTGCTTGAATTAGCTAAATCCTTTGTTAACAATTCCCTTATCGTAGCCCTATGGAAATAGAAGGAAATCAACCAAAAATACTGAAGAACTCTAACACAAATGCTGCTTTTGTTGCCTAGGTCAGTGTAAACCCCAGTTACCTGGTGCCCGAATCAGATTATTCCAACAATGTTGTGCGCTGTGACATTCGCTACACAGGACACCATGCATATGCCTCAGGATGCACAATTTCACCGTAAGTCTTATTTGCCTAGCCAAGTAATTGTCTTCACAAAGAGTTTTAGCTCATTGTCAAGCATTATACATACACACGTTTCTACTACTATTGCAGCTTCCTTGTAAAAATATACCAAAGGCAGAAAATGGTACAGAGCCTGTGCTTTCACATAATTAGAGCTGATTTTTTTTTTTTTTGATAATGCAAGAGAAGGGGGAGAAGAAAAGGAGGAGGAGCCATATACTAAGGTTTTTATCATCCCAAAGCTTACTTTTCAAGAGAAGACATATACACAGAACACGGTGTTTACCTAAAAAGCTTGTGTGACTTCCCAATATGTGCAATTGCTCAGTATGCAGTGAGTGAGCTTGTAAGAGCTCCAATAGTCCAGTTTTCTGCCCCTTCTTCCACCCCTTGAAGAAGCTCTGAAGGAATCCCTAAAGTCCTTCAAAGTACATTTTGAGAATTACTGCCAAGCAACTGATGAGATCAGCCCCTCTGGTCTGTACAAGTCAAGATTTTATATACTTGAACTTTACAATCATGGGAACTAGGGCAATAATCTGCAAAAGGAGGAGGTGTGTGGAGGTTCCTTCATATATTCCTGTAACTCTTGTTTGGATGAAATCTTAGAAGGAATCCTAGCAGATAAATATTCACAGGGAGGTACTTTGATGAAAGCAATGAAAGCAGTTGGGTAGGTTTGCCTGCCGGTCTGTCTGTCCTGCCTGCTTGAGTGTGACTGGCTGTGGATCATGACTACATACACTACCTGAGTTATACCTTCCCAACAACGAGAACACCACTGGAATGATGCCAAACATGCATCAGCTTTGCTTTGTCACTGGAGAGGCACTGACACCTCATGCAGGAAGGAAGATATAGCAGAACTATACCAGACACTCATGATTAATAGAGATTTCTGCTGGATACAAAGACCAGGGCAGTGGTTTGCTGCATGTAAACCTGTAGTTTATTAGCTTTCCCAAATCCACCTAAACCCGGTAAAGCAGGGTTTGCCCTATTCCCAATCTGGGGGAAAGTGAGGCTAAAACCAGATCATGCTCCATTCACACAGCACAGAGGCTTGGGGCTGCATTCATTTTAAAAGGGTACCTCTTCCTTATTCACATGAAAGAGCAGAGCCTGAGCTTTACAAGTGTCATCACAGGAATAGAGATAGATGAAACCTATGATAGCAAAAGAATAGCACTAAAAAACATAGAATAAAATCTATTATTCTGGCCAGGCACAGTGGCTCACTCCTATAATATCAGCACTTTGGGAGTCAAGGAGAGAGGACTGCTTGGGCCTATGAAGTCAAAACCAGCCGAGACAATATAATGAGACCTTGTCTCTACTAAAAATAAAAAATTTTGCTGGATGTGGTGGCAGGCGCTTGTAGTCTCAGCTACTTGGTAGGCTGAGAAAGAAGGATTGCTTGAGTCCAGGAGGTCTAGGCTGCAGTGACCTGTAATCATGCCACTACACTCCAGCCTAGGCGACAGAGTGAGACTCCAACTCAAAAAAAAAAAAAAAAATGTATTCTTCCGAACATGTTTATGACACAAAAACCTGGCTAGTTTTGTAGCCCATATTGGGTGGAGTTGGTTATAGTATAACTGAAAACTCCCAGAATATTAGCATAACTTAAGCTAAGGTAATTTAAACTAAAATCGATGGAATAGCTAATTTATCTTAATTTCCATAATTCCTTAAGTTATTCACTCATTCTCCATTTACTTATTCACTTGAACTCTCACTTTTGTACTATTTTTATTGAGGTCCTAAATTAGATATTAAAGAATAATACAAACATAAATATGACTCCCAGCCCCTTATGACAGTAATTTCAATGAATTACTTTATGAATCTCTCTGCTGAACATTTATCTCCTGCTCCAGTCCATGATGGCTGGGATCTAGTCTTGTCCATCATCATACACCCATTATCAGGCACAGGCTTGCTACCTTGCAGCCTCTCACTCAACACTGAATAGATAAATTTCCCTCTCTCAAAGAATTTGGAATTGAGTAGAGGAAGTAAGAGAAATGCATGCAGAACTACAATAGAGATATCATATGAAAAGTTCCATGAGGGGTAAAATAAATTGCAATGGGACCTGAAGGGCTAATACTTTAATAAGTTTGATGACTCCCAAGTATTTATCTTACCCAATTCTATGCACCAACTTTGATGCATAGAATGTCAGTTGCTGTTAATCAGTAGAATCTATTGAATTGGATATAGCTAAATATTTAGCACAAATAAATAATAAATAATTAAGAGTGAAGCAGGACTTACTTGTCCTGCTTCACTCTTGATTATTTTAGCGGTGGTTTCTTTGCCTCTTAATGTGAATATTGGATATAGCTAAATATTTATCACAAATAACATTTGTTCTATGGCTCCAGCAATAGTTTGACTTTACAAAGATTCCTGATATGGTCACCCACATAGAGTTGATTTTTCTTTTTGTACTAGTTATTATTGACTATAACTAAACTGCAAGAGTAGTTGAGGTAGAATTTTAAAAGGCAATATTGATCAGATGAAAGTATGAAAAATTAAGCTGGGCTTGATGGCTCAGCCTGTAATCCTGTACCTTTGGGAGGCTGAAGTGAATGGATTGCCTGAGCCCGCAGGTTCAAGATCTGCCCGGGTAACTTGGCGAGACCTCATCTCTGTAATAAATCAAAAATTAGCTGGGCATGGTAGCGTGTGCCTGTAGTTCCAGCTACTCGGAAGGCTGAGGCGGAAGGA